CCGGGGCAGGCTACAATAGGCCAATCAGTGGCCGCCATGCCGAGTGGACCCAGTTGGACTTCAGCCCCCACTTAGTGAATTAAAAAAAAAGCATGTGCGCGAGTGTGGACTGGATTCATGTAGCTCAGATCGAACGGCTGTCACTTGTGAACACGGCAATGAAGCCACGGTTTACATCGGATACCGGGGGATGTTCATCCCTGAGTATAAAGCAACAGAGACATTGAGCCGGCACTTCTACAATCTTTGCAGGTTAGGAATATGTGGAGCTCGGCCTCTGCTCTCCATTTGTCTCCACGGCGTATTACTTAACGAAGCACGAAGTTTATTCACAGTGCTCGGTTAGAGGTTGCTTAAGCATCCCTGTTTAAAATCATGTTTACAGCTATTACCATTTTTAATTATACACATACCTGTATATGTTCTCCTTTTGATAGAACTATTTCACATAACACACAAAAAAATCTGGTTTGTAGTTCTTCTAGCATGAGATTGTCAGCCGGTGCTACTTAGTTAGTTATTGGAGAGGGTGGGTTTCCCCATGCACTTAGACCAGTATTGGTCCATTGTGCTTCCCTCTATGATATTCTACCAGTCTCTCTACCCTACCGATATTGGTGCGTATAATCAGTCCCGACCGAGCCAGCGAGTTCGGCCTCTACTGGCTTAGCGGTATCTATTATGCTTCCCCCATCTGTCAGAGGCGTTAGAGACTACTGTTGGGCGGGAAATGTCCTTGAATTTGGCTCAGTGACCTCCTTTGGAGATATGAGGTTCTTTTACGTGCCGTAAAGCTACGACACGGGACCCACGGCTTAAAGTCCCTCCCGGAGGACTTGTTCCCTGAACTTTTCCGCCCTTAAAAATTTCACGACCTCCGCCGGGTTTGAACCCGCGTACCACGAGTCAAGAGGTGGGAACGTTACCTCTAGACTACGGAGGCCGCTCCGGTGCTACTTAGTTTCTCCTTAGCTCATCCAAGGCTTCTACATTTTCCCTGTGGTTTATTTAACACCGCCCGTGGTATCTGAGGCTACGTATTATAATCCGCATGGGTGAATAATGAATTGGAATGGATATGGAAGGAAGCGGCCGTGTCTTATTTGAGAAATTACTGTTCCAATATTTGCCTAGAAGGTCTAGACAAACATGAATCCGGATAGCCAGTGTCCCGACAGAGATTCGAACGGAGGACCTCCCTGTTGCAAGTCTAGAATTGAAGTATGTGCCTTGGAAGCGTCGGTGAACTACCAGGGATAAATTCAAGCTAGAATATTAGTGCTAATTTTGTTAATTTTAAAAGCGTCATAGTGTATACGCGAAACATTGTTATCTCCCTTTATTACAGTGATGTCAAAATAGTATTTGTTAGATGTCGCAGCTGTTGGTTGCATTATGTGTGAGATCGTGACTCTTTCCATGTTACGCATGATATGCACGTATATAGCTTAAAATATCTTCCCTTTTGTCCTGATATTTGAGAAAATAAGTGAAAGATTCCTGTCATAATCTGTTTCTGATTCAGAAATTAAAATGAATTAACTCGTGGCTCTTGTATAATAGAAATTAAAATATTATGGGATACTACCGTTGAAATTCAACGGGACATATTCATTTCCTATCTTTATTCTTCATCTCTTTATCCCTTGCCCCTATCCCTTTCACACGTTTATTTCGTTCATCTACTTTGCTCTTGAAACAGCAAATCACAGTTTTCGAACATGGAGCTGCTTCATGCGAATGTACGTCATAACGATATCGTCCTGAGCGGCTCTGGGGTTCACCCAACCACCTATCCATTGGATACTGGGGGATTTCCCCCCCGAGAGTAAAGCGGTCGGGGCGTGAAGCTGACCACTCACCTCAAATTGTGGAGTCATACTGCCGCTCTACCGTACGCCTTCATGGCTTAGAGCTTAATTAGTTAAGTACAGGGCAACTTTACCTTACACAAACGCCGATCACGTGGCCGCGCTGTCCAAGGCATGAACTACCTTCGCTCGCTCGAACACTGAGATCGTTGGTTCGAATACCACTCAAGGCATGGATGTCTGTGTGCGTTTTTTCTGTATTTGTGTAGTGCTATATGTAGAAAGCGGCCTTGCGAAGGGCTGATCCCCCGTCCAAGGAGTCTTACCGACTTTGCATAGGATCAAGAAGCTGAAAAAGCGGGCAAGGTCCAACAAAGGGCTGTAGGGCCATAAAAATAAGAATATCAACAAAATTAGCATATACCAGTGTGTAAGAGAGATTTTCTGAAATCGACTTTCAGTCCTTGTTTTGTCCCTTATCACTTGAAGTAGTGAGATCACGCCGTCGGGCTTGGAGGCTTCATTCCTTCACAAAGAGGGCCATTATCCTACGCAAATGAAGTTGCCTGAGATGTCAGCCCAAGTAGCTCCGCTCCCAGTAGTTACATTCCACTTCTTCACATTACGATGTCGATAAGGAAACGTTTGATCGTTGCTATACCCTTCAGGCTCCATTTTGATGATGTCATGAGTGTATCTGCGGTTTGATTGTGTATGTATGTAGCTTGGAAACAAACGGTCAAGTTCTGGGCTACTGTTTCCCTGTACTTTCCCCTAGTCTCTACAAACAAACTCTGTGGATTTGAGTCCGCAAGCGAACTATACCGACCGAGCGACCGCCGCTTGTCGGCGAAGTTAGTGCCAATTTTTGCGGATAGAGGGTGTCGCGTGGTCAGCACAACGAATCCCCACGGCCGTTAATCTCGGTTTTCTAGACCGGAGCAGCTGTTTCCTTGAAATCGCTCCTT